AGCAAAGCAAATGCATAATGTTTACCTTCGCATATGGTCTGCTCTGTTAATTACCTTCGCCAAGAAGGTTATGTTTTCAGAGGCGTTCGTGTATGTGTGTGTGTGTCTGTCTGTCTGTAAACACTATAACTTGAGAAGGCCTTGATGGATTGTCTTGATACTTGGTAGGTGGGTAGGTCTTGATGAGACCTCAAAATGATTAGATTTTGGACCCCCTAGTGGCTTGTTACGGTACTGCAGCTGAACTTCCGGTTTTGATATCTCATGATCTAAACATGCTAGGGTGACGAAATTTGGATGGTAGGTAGCTCTTGTGCTAGGGAAGAAGTGACGTGAGTTTTGGCCCCCTATCGGCTTGCTCTGGAACTGCAGGGCTATCTGTTTGAAAATATTCAACTCAATGTAACTCAAGAACAGGTTGATGGATCGTCGTGATTTTTGGTATGTAGGTAGCTTACGTGATGCTTGATATAATTATTTGACAATTATGCAAATATGGATGTAATTTGCATAATTTATGACGAAATTCTATAAATCAGCTTCATTCCATGGTTGGACTATTGAAGCCTGTGACATTGGTAATTGAGAACGAGAGAACCACAGACAGATATTGATTATGTAAATGAGGACTTAATTTGCATAATTGATGAGAAAATTTTATAATTATGTAATGATAACAGCCTGGAATTTCATACTTGTGGTATTTGAAAGTTAATGTATTCAAATCAGGACCTCATTTGCATAATTTATGAGGAAATGCTAGAATGGCATTGTTTGTTAATATAAGACTGTCTTTTGGTTGAGAAATTCATAAAATGATAGAATTCATTAAAATTAGGATCCTATTTCGTTAAATCAGGGGGGAATAATCTATAATATGTCAGTCATAAAGATTAACATCATTTGGCGAAGGTATGAGATCGGGGAACTCTAGTTCTTACTGAAATACATTCATATACAGGGCTCGAAATTCATTTTTGGGAATAGGTGCACTGGTGCACCCAAACTAAAAAATTAGGTGCACAAAAACATTTTTGGGTGCACCATATAAAACAAAACCTAATTATAGATCTTACTGCTCCTCTTCTAAGCTTGTATCTGAAATGGGAGCTAACTTCAAAGTCTTACAAAAGTACTACAACAAAGATTTTTTTATTTTTCTGACACTTAGATGCCAAGAATATCCTGTATACTATTATACATCTAATACGGACAAATATGCCTACAAAAAAAATTGGGTGCACAGCTCCAATTTTGGGTGCACTAAGGTGCACATGCACCCAGTATTTTGAGCCTTTACATATATGGTCAGACAGGAGTATAAATCCCTCCTACTATAAAATTGTAACATTATGGAACCCAACACCAGAGGTGACAGATGTCAACAAATCAGGTCATTGGCCTTGTCAGAGCTAGGCCACTATTTGGAAAAGAAGAGAAAACTGAGCAATAAAGAATATGTTAATCTTTCATACGTCGATGAAGGTTAGACATCCAGGTAATACGATA